CTCAATTTTTGAGCTAGAGTCTTGTTTATGATAGGTCTATTTATGCTCTTTAAAAAAGGTTTTGTAAGTTTTCTTCCAAAAATGCATCATTTTCCCGATATTTTATTTTGAATCTTTCAAATTTGGCATTTGAAGAAAACCGCTGAACATTGATAGGCCGTATTTCGGTTCCTATTATATCGCAAAAACATTTTAAAAAATGAATTGTATTTGTCTTTTTAAAAGCTACAAATTTTTTCTCTACAATTTTTTTGATAAAATGTACCATTTTCGAATTATTCGCGAAAAATCGAATAAAAACGTGGATTTTTTCGTCTAAAAGTTATTACTTTCAATCGCGAATAACTTGAAAAATATCATTTTATAAAAAAAATGTATAGCACATTTTTTGTTTAGAATCGCTTTTTTAATCGAAACCTGTAGTTAAAACGTAAAAAAAAATTTCACCCCGGAGATGGGGTGGCAACCACCCCCTAGGCTTTGGCGCACTTTGGTTCGATATAGATTTTGATCCTTAGGCTATTACCTACCTTCTGTTAAATTTCAAGTCAATCCACGGAGCACGAAAAAATTGCGAGGTGAAATGCTTCATTTCCTGGACTATAACTGGTTTGACAGCATAAATCGTAGATTTATGTGTAGCTTTCAATTTTTATGAGTTCAGAATCCAGCAGCCCGCTGAAGTATTGGATTTTTATAATATAATTATTTGACAATCTTTTGTTGGCCAACCACTTACAGCAGAATTGAGCCGAAATACATTATATTCCTATGTTCCGAATTTATTTCGTTCAATCTGTATACATGATAAATAAGTTTGTCTATGATTACTTGCGAAGGGATCGTTTTTAATTGAATTCAATTTTGATTTTATTCATACCTACAACATCTATATTTACAATATTGTTCTTTAATTTCTGGGACAGCATTTAATATCCACCTTACGGTTCCAATTCTATGAAGTTTACCAATAATATTGCAATATTTTACAGTATTCTGTACAAAGACATAATAGGGACCAGCATCCGATGAAGAATAAACATTGATGGGCCTTTAGGTAGAAATAATATTTGTACTTACCCCTGATTATTAATTGATTTTTTTAAATTATCTGTGTCTACTTTATCAATAATCCTTTGTTAATATGTTCTCTGTCTGTAACCATAATTCCTGTACTGTTCTGATGTACATTATTTTTCCTTTGTCTGGTGTATCACTTTTAACATTGATAGGCATTTTGTTTAAAACATCGAACACCAAAATGTTTTTTCTAAATACCATAGTTAAGCTTGTTCGATATACGAATTCAATTGTATCTCTTGAAAGACCGTAATAGGCTGCTCTAAGTAAGTGTAATTTAATTATTACCTACACTTTTATCGTCACAAAATTATTAAAAACTAATAGAACTTTTAATTATAAACTTTGACAGTTATTTGACAATTGAAAAACCAAAGTTTTGTTTTCTCGGTAAATTATTTACGTATTTTAATTAAGAAACTCACAACTCGCAACTCATAGAACCGTTTAAAATCTACAATTTTTATTTGAACCATTTTTCTATCAAGGCATTGTTTTATAGGCAAGATTTTTTCACTTTTTCTGGTTTAAAAAAAAATAAAAGCAAAATCAGCTGTACGTTTTCAAGAATTTGTCATCAGCTATCCGTCATATTCTTTTTAGAACTTTCAAAACCCTGTATAAGATTTTTACGTGAAATCAATGATTTCTTGACAGACAGACTGGGGTTATGTGTCAATTATATACACTGTTAGAACTTTTTAAGCCACCGACAAATTAATTTGATCAACTGATAGAATTTGATGGATCACGCAACGCAACATCAAACGTTTATTCCATGTTAGTTTATCTTAATATACAGTTAGGACTGCGTATCTTTACTCATGCGTCATCGCTTAAACTATACAAAATGTCGAGAGAACATCGTCGGTTTAAAAATTACAAACTCTGTGTATTTTAAAAATTACATTTCGACTTTATTTATTGAATATATTGAATAAAAAGTATCTTTATTACTTTTCCAAAGGTACTTTGGAATACAAAAATGTTGCAATAATAAATTAATATAGGCATTGTCATAATATAAATTAAAAATTAAATATCACGAATGGACTACCGAAGTTTGACTTCACATTGGGCGGCGATTTTAAAAACCTTTCCAAACATTTCTAATTTGTGTGTATTGGTCCCATAAGAGTTGGAAATATTGTTTTTTTTTTAGTGTTTGAAGAATAAATAAGGTCTTTTTGTTATGAACGTTCATTCTGTGCAATTGGCATTATTTTTTTGTTGATGAGTTTGTGAGGTAAAAATATCAAAGTATTAAGATATATACTATGAATGTTCATATTTTAAGGTTATGGTATTGTTTAATTAAAATTATTTTGTTACTGCATTTCAAGGTATTTTTTTGTTATTTTTATCAGGGTTATTTCAAAATAATTCAATAAATCATTGAATTTTATTTACGAAGTTAAAAATATTTAAATTATTTTTTTTTAGTTGCCAATGATTTTATCTTGTAAAAGACTAAAGATATTCATTTTCCCGTAGTTTAAGTTGTAATATAACATTCTGTGGAAACCTTTCTATCAAATTGTCGAATGAATGTTTAAAAACATGTTTTTTAAATGTTGTAATAGTTTTTGAGTTTCTTTTGTAAATCTGGGCATATGATGGCTAGTAAACATGTGTTGAAGATATCCAGATTTCCTGAATTTTTCAGTACTGACAACACAACTACTATTAACTAATTAAACTACGAGAAGACTCGAGATCACTAGCACTTAAAAAAGAATACAAAATTAATTTAAATATTTTTTAAATTCGTAAATAAATTCACTGATTTATTGATTTTGAATTAACCTCGATAAAAATAATAACAAAATACCTTGAAATACAGTAAAAAATAATTAAACGTAACAATAAAACACTGAAAACTGTGTTTTCAAAGTTCCACAAATTTTATTTTTACCCTTGTCACTACAGCTGTTTCGGCTAATTGCCTTTCTCAGGTGATCTATTTTTGGCTTGGGTTTACAAATTTCTAGTCTCTAATGAAATAGGTTGAGGAGGGGAGAACTGTTTGTCTCAAGTTGGTCATTCAGAATTATATCTGTTTTTTAATTTGTTGATTTCCATAGATTCTAACAGAGATAGCTTAAGGCCTTTATTTTGAATGTGAAGAATTTTAAATTTGTCATTAAAAGAATGATTATGATCTAGAAGGTGAAGTGCGTATGTCGAATTAATTCTCTTCATAGCCATATTGAATTTACAATAGAAACAGAACAAAATCAATCCATAAATTGCATAAAAATTTTTGTACTTATTGAATGGGATTCTATAAAATTTGTTTTATCTCGACAAGAAAGAAACCTTCTAGAAGAGGAAATGCGAGCACATCTTATATAATCATCATCACCATTATCCTAACTATATCTAAGTACGATATATATTCATCACTTGATGGATCGTCGAAAATGCATCAACTGACATCTTCATTTTCACCTGAAACCGAACAAATATAGTAGTATATATCATTGTTCTATAAGATTATAATTATAACATTGCGTTTATTTTGTTATTTGATAAAATATTGTTTACTTTAACTTTTAACATAACCTCAAAATCTTTGATGTGGGAAAAACAATATTTTAATTTATTTGTAACGGTAATTTACTGAAGTATATTATTATAAGTTAGATATTTCATCAAGCTTACTTTCATAACTGTCTTCTTTTGCCTGTTTAAGAGCCAATTCTAATATTTGTTTACGTCTGCTCATCTTGCACTTTATTTTACAACGTCAACAAAGCACAGTGACTAAGTGGATGAAGGTGTTATGTGCATGCTGAAGACACATGGCACCTTCTCCCTCCAAACATTCTACATATTAGTGTATCATAACCCCTTCACCAGCTGAATAAATACTAAGTTATGGCTAAAAGTAAATGGGAGATAGTGCTGAGAAATAATAACACATAACGCCTTCATCCACATAGATATCCCAATTTTCAAGCAAATGTAACATTTCACCTTCCAAGCCCTTCAATTTTCATAGAACTGTTTATTGCTTACTACACATGTTTACAGATCTGAGTTTCGTTCGATACTGCTAAAAATACATTACAAATGACTAACAGAAACTCCTAGTAGAGGGGAGGCCGTTACTAAGAACTATATAATTTTACCTTGGGGTAACACCGTAAATTACAAAATCATTCATATTGTCCTTATCAGAACCATATACAGACGCAGCGGATGCGACAACAATAGCCGACGGATTTGCCGGGTACATACTTTCTAAAGAGAGGGACTATAATAGACAAATTTTCCCCAGAACTATGTAAACCTAATAAATGTTTTAATCTTTTAATAGATTTCTGGAAACTAAAATTTACCCAAAACTTTAAAAATTACAACTATGAATCTAAATAAAATAAACTCAAAAAATAATATGAACTAAATTATAATGAGACGGAACACATAGTAAAAATTTTAATACTATGATATTCTTACATCACAAATTCACGAACAACAAATAATACCAATCGCACAGAATGAATGTTCTTAACCAAAAGTCCTTATTTATTTTTCAAAAAGTTAAAAAACCAATATTTTCAACTTCTTATGGGACAAACACACATAAATTAGTAATGTTTGGAAAGGTTTTTAAAAACCCCGCCTATTGTGACGTCAGAGCTTAGGTAATCCATTGTAATAGTAAGTTAGATTTGTTTTATATATTTTGTATTGATACATCTTTTCGATGTAAGGAGTCTGCACACGTTCATCAAAACAACATTTGCTTAAAAACATACGGTAACTACTGTTTGCCCTTTTTTGTCACATCTGAGAGACAATGATCTAGATAAAAATCTCTAATCGAATCTCGAAGCTTTATGACGCCTTAGTAAAGATCCACGTTCCCTACTGTATTTCTTAGAGGTTAATATGCATCCTCTTTCTACCGCTAGATAAGATAAAACTGCGCAAACCTCGCCTCTCTGTCGAGGAGATGCTCAAGGGTAAATCTAACAGCATCGACAAAGAAGATAACGAGAGAACCTCTTCCAAACCCGCTCACGTAACATATTCCATTGAGTTCTTGGCGCACTTGGCTATGTCTCCGATGTGTCTCACGCAACCGAGCGAATGGGAGAGAATATGTAAGGAGTATCCTTTGCTTATGAGAAACGTAAGTAGACTATTAATGTTTTTTTGTTGTAATTAACTATATCTAATAGATCAATTCTAGGAGTGGATTTATTTTGAGTTTTTATGGAATGGTAATAACTCTTTGGCTGAAAGTAACCAAAAATATAATTCACATCATAATTAAAAAATATAAAATTTTTGTTTTGCTCATTTTTCCTATTCGAATAACTTAATGAAAATATCATTTTATATACTTAAAAAAAAAGGTTTAAGACATATCACGATTGATTTTAAGTTATTTTAAGTCTTTCATATACCAACACCACTTTTTCAATAATATCAATTAGTTTTTTCTATTTTTTTTTGTACTATATTATTAAAAATTTGCAGTTAATTCGAAATATATCCCTAATGATGTGTCACACATGCCCTATTGAAAATTAAGGGTTTATGGAACTGAAAGGGAAGGGGATGACAATCAACAGATGTCTGTTCGTTCAAATCAATCCGTTTGGCAACGTAATCAAACTGTTTCGGAATCTTTACAAAATCTAATGTATATTAGATATACATATATACATATGATTAACCAACAGAAAAGTTTTAAAATTTAGGAATAAGATTAGTCGATCAAAATTAATGTCTACTATATTAACAGACGAAATGAGGAAGACACTGAAGAAAATGAAAGGAAATAAAGCTCCGGGAGAAAAGGAGACATACTTTTAAAGAATATAAAGGGACTGTTCAAATTATGTCTGCATTAAAATAAAACGCATACAAAATGGCACAGTGCACTTACCATTTTATTACACAAAAAGAGCGATCGAACATACCTCGACCGTTGTCGACCCATAAGTCTGTTAAACCTCCTCTACAAGTTATTTACAAGAAGAATATCAAATAGAGTGGAAACAAACTTAGATCTTTACCAACCTAGGGAACAAACAGGTTTTAGTAAAACCTTTTGCGCTAACGATCACCTGAATAAAGGGATTATAGAAAAATATATCAAATACAATTTTGCAACGTATTCGATACGATAGAATTTAACAGCGTAATGATGGCGTTGGAGGAAAGTTGTATAGATTATCAATACTCCAAAGTGATTGAAAACATATACAATAGTACAACCATGACCGTAAGATTACACAAAGATACAAAATATATAAAAATCAAAAAGAGAATTATTACAAGAAGATACTTTATCTCCTAAACTCTTTACGACATTTCTGGAACATGCTTTCAAACAATTGGAACACATTAAAGGAATCAATGTGGACAGATATCTTAAAGGAGATTGGAACTATACTTATTAAGTTATGTGCCGCCGCTAAGGAAGTTGGTTTGAACATAAATTTTGGAAAGATACAATATATGACATCTGATACCAAGCGAAAATCCAGAAGTCGGCTGCAACGAAGTAGCATTAGTTCATAAATATGAATACTTGTGTTATGAAATCAAAATTCCCAGGGACAACCAAACCGCCGAATTACAAAGAAGAATCACTTTAGCATGTTGCGCATGTTGAGCTCTATCCGACAACTTCAAGAGCAACTTGCCAAATTATTTGAAAAAAATACGTTCGATCAATTTTTGCTTCCAGTCATGACCAGGCGACAGCAACCAAACTCAAGAGTGGCCCAAAGAAAAATAGAACAGTTCTACTGGACTGAATACCAGAGACAAGGTTAGAAACGAGGAGATGAGAAGGACAGGCGTCGCAGATGTCATAGAGCGCACAGCATGACTGAAGTGGAACTGGGCGGCCATAGCATGACTGAAGTGTAACTGGGCGGGCCATGTGGCCAAATGAATGATGGGCGGTGGAGCTAAAAAATTACAGTGTGGAGACCACGAGAAGACAGAAGAAGCAAAGGTAGACCATCTACGGCCACCTACCACCTCATGGCCAGAAGATATAAAAAAATCGCTGGGAATCGTCTGCAGGAAGTTTAAGACCGACAGAACTAGAAGATATTAGGATAGGTCCATGTTCAACTTTTGACGCAGAAGGCTGGATGATGACGATGAATGCATATTGCAAAATATCAGGGGGACTGTTTTCAGTGGCACACTCTGGTACATACATAGTATCGCAAAAAGAATTTGCAGATCGAGTGTTGTTTGTATCCAGGAAGACCCATTTTTATGTAAATATAAGCCTTGCAAATTTAACCCTGTGTTGGTGGTTGCAACGCCTAACAATTTTTTAATGGGACGAGAGGTCAAATGACAAATAGTTTGGAAGGGGATTTCATTACATACATAGCAGTTTTTATTTGTTTTAATTAATTATTTACCGTCAAATCACATTTTAAAGTTTTAGTGTGACCCTCATCACAGAGTTAAAGTTGCAAGGATTATTTTTGAATAAAATGTAATAAAATTGGTCCCCTTTGATATAAAAATCGACGAGTTTATGGATTTTTATCAAAACACTTACTTTGACGAGTTTTAGGGGGGTAGAAATTTTCCACCACGAGACATCAGGTCTCAGTTGGAAATATAATTTTAGTTCGCCTACGCTTTTGTCCACCGAATTTGAGGTATTTTCAACTTACGTCTAGTAGTGTAACATGCTTCCATTTATCGTCTAGTTATTTTTTTAATAAATATACCATCGAAAAACAATAAAAAAGTTTTTTTCATAGTTGATAGTTAGTTATGCAAATACCCATTATAATAATAATAATTGTAGGTATAATTCATGCTGAATTACTTTATCATTTATGACTTATTTGATCAGCACTGGGTATATTTTTCTAATTACATCCTACGTTTATTTTAGGTCATTGAGTACTTCGACGCCAAGACCTACCTGTCCACAAGAACAACGGAACCGACTGGTGTTCTTAGCGCCGAATGCGTCGACCCCAGCGAAGTTTGACACCCCTCCGGCTTTTATAGGCTCAAACGAAAACAAATTATAAAAACGTAAAAAAAGACATAGCGGATATTGTAACGTCCGGTTATATTTTGTATATTTTCAGTGAGTGACATTTAAAAAGAATAGTCATAACTTCGAATGTTTAATAAGTACGTAGAAATCTTTGTAGAGATCAAAAAATGGAAAAGAAAAATTAAGAAAAAATAATGAAAATGTAATCGAAGGCATTTGAAGATAATAATGATTTTAGGAAGTATTTAGGTAGCACATAACTTTTTAACATTTAGCCATTCTAAACGAATACAGAACAGAATTTTCCAGAGTAGAAATTGTAATCAAACTAGACTAAAGCAAAGATAATTAAAACCGTAGTAGATAATTGTGTCACTGTCTTCACGTATAAGACAACAAAGCGTCGCACACAAATATTCCAAATTATAAAATGCTTTTATTTCTTCTTTTCCTTGCTCCTGACTAATGTTGCCAGTCAGTAACATTTGATCTTCATTCAATCCTAGGTATAATCTTATACGTATAATTTATGACTGTATTTTTACGAACTTTTAGATATTTGTTGTGCGAGTACGATTTGTTAGTTGAGAGTGGCACAACCGGTTTTCTTTTACTTATCAAACGCCTTCGTTCACATTTTGTTTATATATTTTTATATCTCGAGTGAAAATATGCTTTAGTGGGTATTTTTTTTAGGTTTTTCAACTTATAACTTGACTGACTTTTATTTATTATTCTTATGATTTTCTTGAGTCAGCAGAGTGATAACTAATAGATATCACTTTGTGCACAGAGATTTAGTCTCGAAATAATAGATAGGTTTTTTCTTTTGTGATAATTGTCAGAATAATAGTATATTGGACGTTCCTAAAGCCCAAAGCAATATTAACAATTTTTGGGTAAAAGGAACGCCCAGTATAGAATTTTTTGTTAACATTTAACATTTTCTAGTTTATTTACTATAAGTCTACTTACATAGTTGATGATATTTAGAAATATACATGGCCGCTCATTTCTATATCTCGTGAGTTGTTATAAAATAGGTGAATCAAAATATCTTAGCAGTAGAAAATTGCAATGTCAAACTTGTTTTGATCCCCATCAGTTTGTTCAAGGTGAAGAAAAACTCCAAAATACACTGGCTTAACCTATACTTCTTTCTTCTTACAAAGCTGGAAGACAGTTTAAAAAACAGTATATTTTGATGGAAATAAAATGAAAACAATTTTTGAATGTTTTTTACTGTGGTTCTAGTTGTTGATTTTCTTCCCAGAAACTAATTAACATCCAATATGATATTCGTATGCAATGCCATCTAGTATATTGCTAGAATGAGCGTCAGGTTAGCAGTTTATTATTACTTATTTTGAGTTATCTTCAATCAGTTCAAAATGCAAATGACATTGCGGCGTCATTTTTATTTTTTAAAGTTGTCTTGTTTCTCACGGGGAAATGATAGTCCGGCTTTCGATTCTCTCCTGAAGTCTTCATCTGAGCTTCTGAGTTGTGTCTCCTCCAGGTCAGTTCACTAGTACTACATACGTCGCCATACACTGCACTACTGCCGCCTCTCACTCGAGTCCGTTTTTTTTTTTATTAACTCCAATTAAAGTTACAATTTAGTTTAATTAAAAAGTATTAAGTTAAAAGCTTAAGTAAAATAAAACAATAAAACACAATCATAACTACATATAAATACAGCTGTCATCCCTAGCTTTGTTGGCTAAGACCCTAAGACCCTAAGGCCCTAAGACCTCAAAAAGTTGGTCTTTTAAAAATGTTTTATTTCAAGTGTCCGGGTATTGGTTTCTAGGACACGTGTGGTGATTTAGGCAAGTAACGTTTTCACGAAAAACAATATGAGTAAGTCAGTTTTACCGTCGGAATTTGAAGATAATTTAGATATAAAACGAGAATATGTAATAACTAAAGTCATATTTTAATAAGATAATATGAGTAATTGGAAGATATGTAACTAAATAAGGTCATATTTTTAATGCAATACATACTAAACACTTTCCCAAACACATGTGTGTATGCATATATATATATATATATATATATATATATATATATATATATAATATATATATATATATATATATATATTACGCAATAATAGTGAATGTAGTAGTGAAATGGTCTAGAGATTTATGAGACTGAGGCTGCAGAAAAATGTATTTGTAACTCTTGAACAATGTAATACAACGACGGTGTCATCTGCATGTTATATTGTTCCTCGAATAATTATACTCAAATATATTTTCGTGTAGTGAGAGCTTATTCTGAAGGAAGGTGGCAAAGTAACTATGTTCTTTGTACTGGATTGGTTGTCCTCTCTAATTTAAATGTTTCGATTTTAAAACTGATACGATTCGATCAAGCTTAGGATTGAATTTAAAAAAAAAATGAAAAATAATTTACCGTCCAAATTTCGTGTTGAACTTGTGCATCTTTAAATTAGGTCTTTTGTTGGTTGTTTCCTCTTAAATCCGTTGCACGCCATACAATTTTACGTCATTTTCGCACAGTATTGTCGTATTATCGGAATAGTAGAATGTAATGTTAGTTTATGTTTTCAGAGTAGGTACATGATGAAATATTGTAACAACAAAAGTAATGAAAGTTGTAGCATTTGTAGTATCCAATTTACATACAAAATAAATTGCTACTTGACAAGATTGTCGTAATCGCTAAAAAAAGTACGCGTATCTCGTATACTTTATTTTATTCTTAAGTATATGGATAGGACAGAAACTCTTTTTCGTTTATTTAAGGCTCTAGAGATTAATAAAAATCAATCGTAGAGATTAAATTAAAATTTAGTAGTATTTTGAAGCAAATATTTTTTTTAAGAAATAAAAAAATAATTGCTTATTTAGTGTTTTATGTTAATCTATATTGCCCAAAGCTTTATGGTATTAATAAAAATCTATGTCGCAACTTGTGAACGTTTGTCAAAGTTTCTAACTCTTACACTACGCTATTTATTGTAAATTATTGTGTTTTGAGTACTAAACTTTAAACTTAAAATAACTTCTTCGTACATGTTATTTTATAACTGTGATGACGTAAATATCTCGCTGACGTACAACGGACTTTAGAAAAATGGCTCTTCTACAAAATATATGTTGCTTTTCTGTTAGTTTAAAGGATTTTCACCTATTTTCTCAATAAAAGATTCGTGCAGCTGAATTTTATGACTGTTCTATATACAATTATATATATATATATATATATATATATATATATATATATATATATATATATATATATATATATATATATATATATATATATGGAAAATATTTAAACATAAATGATATTTTTTAGTAAAAAATCACTTCTTAAAATCGAAGGGTCTATTCAAAGTGAAAAATATACTTAATGTCACTTTATTTAATGAGCGTCCATGTAGTTGTGTTATTATGAATTTGTTTTATATACCCTATGTTATTTACATATTTGTTGTAAATGCTTTAAAATTGTTAGTGCTACTTGCAAAATTTTGAAAAGGTTTGAATGCAATGTTTTGTTTTTAAAAGTTCAAGTAGTTTTCCCAGTGTTTATTTGTTTGTATTGTTTATTTCATTGCTTGTTTTTTTTTTGTTCATGTGTTACAAATACTTACAATAAAAATATTTTTTAAACGTTGTTTTTTACTGTGTGTATTTGGGCAAATCTCTGTCTTGGGCGAATAGTCTCCCTCTCAAATAGGTCGGGAATATTATAAAGAAATTAAAATATTTAAAAATTACTAAACACATATTTTTTTCGACTTTACTTATTTATAACTGTAAAACGATTCCTTATGGAGCAAAGTCTATTGCAATAGCGATAATTGAATTTTCTATAAGACTTGAGGGGTTAAAAATAGCAACAAAAAAGGGGGGAACAAGCACTCATTTGCTTATTCAATGTTTTTCAACCACTGAGATTGCACTTCTGGTCTTCAACCTTTGACCTAATAAAACAGTCTACCAAGTTTCATTAAAATCGATTTAATAGATTTCGCATAATAATTTTGAAATGTAATTTTTTTTAATTGAAATTTTTTAAAATCTTGTACAACAAAAACTAGATCATATAGAAGTTTGTCAATGTTTTTACATATAAAAAAGCGCTCCGCCTATCTAACGTATTCTATAGAATTTAAATCGGATTATTTGGACGGCCTCAGGAATATTTTAAAATTATAAAAAAATTTTTGGCATATAAACAAATAGAATATGTCGGTAACTATTACTTTAATTTAAATTCAGAAAACGTCGTAGGAAAGACTTAGCAAGATGCTTCTAAGGCTCGTCCTCGAAAATCCTAACGGTAAATTTCAGTGGGCTATCTCTATTTCAAAAATGTCTTTCTTTACGAAAACAAAATCTGTTCATGAAGTAATATTCTAAACATCGTTCAGATATGTCTCTCAAGCACAGGTCAAAAATGATGACTACAACCCCTGAAGTGATGACAGGTTTGGGGCTATACAATAAAATAAACATAAATTTCTCTTTAGTGGTGTTTTGAGTAAATAGAATAACAGATCAAAGTAATATAATCTATTCATAAATTTACAATGTAATTAAGGTACATACATAATTTATTTGTTACTTTTTTACAGAAAAATTGGCTGTCTGAATTTTAATGTAGATTAAAGTTTACGGAAAATAAAAATTATAAAAAAAGATTATAATTATATATTATAAAAATTGGATTAGTATCACGCTCATTAGAATCGATAAAATGAAACTATATAACTACAGAATTATGTTTAATGTTTCTTTAAAAGGTGTTTCAAATAAAAATTATAATAAAAATCTTACAATTTTTGTAGCATATTGTCCCACAGTTCTATATCTTTATCAATATTTTCGAATAAAATACCTTTTGGGGTCCATACCGCAAACTAACAGTATTCTCTATTCGACATAAATAAAAAAATAACTGTCCTCGCGCTGGATAGTAATAGGAATCAGTTCTTTTTAAAATTTCTTGAAGGAAGGAATAATTTAGTCACGCTGTCATTTCCAATTTTGATTTTTGATATTGAATTTGATAGGTTGTGGTTTATTACACCAAAATCTAATAAAACATGAAACAAGAAATAGTTTCAGAGTAAGTTTGATGTGTTGTTTATTATCGGTCAATAAGAGACTAATTTACTTATTACATTCATAATCGAACAGACAATTATTATTGTCAACTGAAAGGAATAAGATAATTTACTTGTGGTTAGTAAACGTCGGCCCTATGCAACTAATTGTCAACAAAGAACGGATTACAAAAGTTTAGATTTATGAGGAGCATTTATAAAACAGATGTATACCTATTGAGTACTTATTTCAAAAATTTACAACTAAGGATTTAATTTGTTATATGTAAATATACTGTATTACTATAAGGATGTGAAACATGGATCATGAATCCTGCATCTGGGAAATATATTTCAGAATTAAATAGGAAGATACATACACGGAACTGAAAGAAATTACAGAAGTGCTGCCACAAAGAAGTGGCTTTACCTTTTGTATACGTGTTATATTATTGTCCTAGAAAATAATACAATTGCAACATTTACCGATGATACTGCTATCATAGCAATATACAAAACCAGCGAGGAAACGACAGAGAAATTACACAGATGTTAATCAAATATATACTCCAGGGAAATAAGCAAAAATAGACCATGTTCGTGACACTCAAAAATCCAGATCGCTGACAACTTTTTTAGCTATTGTAGACCGTATAATTTTTTCAAGTGTTTTCATCTCAGCTGTTTCTAACATCTTTTTTGTCATCTCTGTGTCAGGTCTTGTTTCTGCCGCGTATGTCATTATTGGTCTGATGACTGTTTTGTAAATTCTGCCTTTCGTTTCTTTTCTGATTTTTTTATTTCTCCATATTGTTTCATTTAGGCAGCCTGTGGCTCTGTTTGCTCTATTCACTTGATCTTTCATTACTTTTTCGAGCTTTCCGTAGCTAGATAATGTGATGCTAGGCACCTATGATATTTAAACTCCATCACTTGTTCTATTATCTGACCTTCTAGCTCCAATTTACATCTTAGCAAATTTGCTCTTGTAACCATGCATTTTGTCTTTGTTGGTGAAACTAGCATGTTAAATTTTCTGGCGGTTATATTAAATTGGTGCAGCATACGTTGTAAATCATCTTTACTTTGAGAGAGTAGCATTGCGTCGTCTGCATAACAGATTATTTTAAATTGTTTTTCTCCCATTTGGTATCCTTTTTTTGTTCTTACTTTTTTTATTATTGCTTTTATAATCAGGTTGAACAATAGATGACTCAGGGATTCTCCCTGTGTTATTCCATTGCCAGCTTCAATAGGAGCGGTTAGTTCTTCCACTTTTACTTTTATTGTGTTGTTTTGCTAAATATTTTCGATCGTTTTGATTATTCCTAGAGGTATGTCTCTTGCATACAGTAAGTGGATAACGTCTTTTAATTTGACCCGGTCAAATGCCTTTGTAAGGTCCACGAAACATAAATATGTCGGTTTTTTGTATTCTAATGATTTCTCTTGCACTTGCTTCATTATAAATATAGCGTCGATGCATGATCTTCCCGACCTAAAACCTTGTTGTTCCTCTGCTAGTGTTATAATTTCATTCAATTTATTTGTTATCACTTTGGTTGTTAATTTTAGTGTTGTGTTTAATAAATTAATTCCTCTGTAATTTTCCGGGTCCTACTTGTCTCCCTTTTTGAAGAGAGGTATTAGGATGCTTGATCTCCATTCTTGAATAATTCTGTTTTGTTCTATTATTTTTTTAATTAGTTTTAATAGTTGTTTGGTCAGATCTGGTCCTCCGTACTTTAGGAGTTTGTTCGGTATTCTATCCTCTCCTGGTGATTTTCTATTTTTTAATTTCCTTAATGCTTCCTTTACATCTTCCTCCTCAATATTTATTTTTTCGTTTGTCGTCACCTCTGGAGTTGGTGGTTCATCATCGTCACCTTTAGCAGACAGGGATCGAAAGTAGTCTACCCATGTTTCCTTTTGAATGTGTTTCGTTTTTGTTAGTTCGTTCATCGCTTTTCTTTCTCCTCTGATCATTGTCTATATTTCTTTTTGTGTTCCGTAGAAATCGTGTTCCATCTGTTTTGAGAAACTCTGCCAGTGTTCATTTTTTATTTGTCTAACTAAACTATTCGTTTCAGTTCTAATTCGTTTATAATGGTTGTATGCCTGTTGTGTTTTTTGTATTCTCTATTGTAAAAAGGCTTTCTTCTTTTCTTCACATTTTGTCTTTACTTCCTCTCTAAACCATGGTGTTTTCTTTTTTATATGTTACTGTTCGTTACTTTCCTCTGTTCAGCTTTCCTCGATGTTATCGTTTTCTAATATTTCATTCCCAGTGATCTTCTCTGATATTATTTTCCTGTATAAGTATTCCGTCGATTCTGTATTTAGTCGACTTTGATTTTTGTTTGTGTTGGCGCCGCTCTCTTATGTGGGAAGTGTTTCAGGATTATTCTTATTTTACATAATACTAGGCTATGGTCGCTACCTACATCTGCTGAGATGAGGCATCTTACGTCGATTATTTTTGATGGATGTACACCTTTGTTGGTTATAATATAATCTATCATAGATCTTTGTCCACTAGTGTTATTAAATGAATATTTGTGTTGGTCTTTGTGGTCAAAAAATGTGTTGTTTATTATTAGTTCGTGCAGAAGTTGATCATCAGTTTTCCATTTTCGTTTTTAACATTCTCGTTATGTTTTTATTTTATGCTGGGTATTACTTGGTTGTCTATTCGAGCGTTAAAATGCCCCAATATTATCATCCATCCTCTGACTTGATCTACTACTTGTAATTGGTCGTAAAACGCTTCCCTTGTTGTTTGAGGCTTATTATTTTCTGGGCCGTATACTCCGATGATGTTCAGGTCTTCCTTCTCCATTCTTATCTTTGCTGTTACTATTCTTTCTGATATGTATTGACACTCTTTGATTTGATTTTGGTACCTTTGGTGTATTAGTAAGGCTACACCTTCTTTGGCCCTGTTTTCTTTTGCTACTCCACTGTAGATTAGTATGTATTCACCTAATTTTGATTGACCCTTTCCTTTCTTTTTTGTTTCCTGTAGAGCACAAATGTCTATTTCTTTCTCTTTCAGCACTTGGATTATTTCTTGGTCCCTTGAGTTGAGTGATCTGATATTCCAAGTAGTAATTATCATGTGGGTTTTTGGATGTTTTTCACTTGTCCTTATTTCTTGCCGTAGTCGTCTTCATATTATCAATCCGGTTCCGAGACTGTACATTGTTTCTTTGAGCAGTATTTGTTTTTACGATTGGTAGGTTGCTAACCAATAAATATAAATATTCAAATAATCATATTAATATGATAAGTCTCTTGCTTTCATTTGTAACCCACAGCATTACCCTATCCTTATTATTTTCTGTCTTATGTTATTGTAAAAAAAGGTCTCTGAGATAAACAAATACAATAACTTTTAAACTAATTAATATATCGGTCCCAAATTTTGAGGGTTTGTAAGTACCCCAATACCCAACTTTGGGTGTAATCTAAACTTTAAATTTATTTGTAATTTTATAATATATTTTGTAATTTTATGTCAAGTTTTTAGCTTTCTAATGGAGTGCAAAAAATTTAAA